AATAATATTATCAAAAGTCTTTAAGATAAACTATGTCAACAGTATTCCCCTGAACTAGTAAGGTAGTAACTTTCTCAAAAAAGGAGGAAAGTTTAGTCTGACATGACTTGTTCTTGAGAAACCCATGCTGACTCTTATTAATCACAGCCGTCCTTTCTAAGTGCTCAAGGACTGACTGACGATTTATTCTAAAACTTTCCCAGGTATAGACGTCAAGCTGATGGGTTGGTAGTTACCCGGATCCTTCCTTTTCCCCTTCTTGAAGACGGGGAAACATTTGTCCACCTCCAGTCTTCTAGCACCAAACCTGTTCTCCAAGAATTCTTTAAAATAATGGACAGTGGCTCAGAAATTACATCCACGAATTCTGTTAGTACCCTTGGATGCAGCTCATCTGGCTCCGAGGACTTCATTTCATGTTCTTGCTCTTTTTCTTAACTCTGAACATAAGAAAAGAACTCTTTTGTGTTGTTTTTAGCATCTTTCACTAGCCTAAGCTCTTCCTGAGCTTTAACTTTCCAACTCTCTCTCTATTTGTTTATATCCATCCTTGGTTATAAGGAATGAGTGAAATAAGGTTGAAGTTCCACACAATATTCTTGTTGACAAATCGGTAAAATGTGGCTTGGATCCTGTTACTGTTAGGTGGATCTGTAACTGTAAATATGTAACCATAAATATGTCAAATAGTAGAATCTATATGCTCGAAGGTTATAAAGGATGCATTTTATGTTGTTCATAGAATCAAGACATTGGAAGGGGCCTTAAAGACCGTCCAGTCCAACCCCCTGCATCACGCAGCGGGATCTCAAACACCCCAAAGGAATGATCGCCCAATCTCTGCCTAGATGCCTCCAAGGAGAGAGGCCCCACACCGTCCCTCGGCAGCCGGTTTCACCACTGAACTGCCCTTATTGTTAAACAGTTTTCCCTGATATCCTGCTGATATCTCCCTACCCATTCTTTCAATCCCTTATTTGGAATCCTGTCCTCCACTACCAACTGAAATAGTGCCCTCCCCGCCTCTAAATTATTGATAAGTCAGTAGAAACAATTTAGGTTCGATAGGGAAGTAAGTATTGCGCATAATTCAGTTTTACTCCCAATTTTATCCCCCCCCCCCCCCCCCCCCCCCGTGGCTTCAACATTTCTAGAAATTTTACATCTCTGTCCCTTACTCTACTAGTGCCCTGATTCAGCTGAAGAAGTGTGCCTGCACACAAAAGCTTATCCCCAGGATTAAACTTTGCTGGTCTTAAAGGTGCCCCTGGACTCTCAATACTAGGGCTGTTATCTGAAGCTGAAACTCCTGCTTACACAAGCAAGGTATTCAGGGCCATTAAACCCTGCTTGAAATCCTGGGTCGTTCTCCGGTCACGCACATCGCTGGGGGACTCTGGTACCTTTGGGGTCCTTCTGTCAGTCTCTGATCACTAGAGAGAATGCAGAAGGTGTCTTTTGGCCTGAGGTTTTTCCTCTCTTGTAAAGATAAATTCCTGGAGGGAAGCCAGATACGCTTCACATGAATGCAGAATTGCAGATAATGTATCTGCCATTTAATTGAGATATGCTGTATAGCTTTATTACTGCGTACATTATCTGTTATCCAATTCCATATATAACCACTAAAATAATTAAAAACATGGATGACCCCAGAATTTATTGCACAGTTTTGTTTTTGCCTAAGCTGCTGTCCTCTGGTTTGAGGGAGTCTGCCTTTTCAAAGTTCCCCTGCATCACTGTGACAAACGTAAGAACATCAGAAGAGCCCTGCTGGGTCAGACTAGTGAGGGTCCATCTGGTCCAGCCTCCTGGCTCACACAGGGGCCAGCCAGTTCCTCTGGAGGGCCAAGAACAGAGCAGAGAGACCGAGGCCTTCCCCTGAGAAGAACACCAGAAGAGCCCTGCTGGATCAGACCAGTGAGGGTCCATCTGATCCAGCCTCCTGTCTCACACAGGGGCCAGCCAGTTCCTCTGGATGGCCAACAACAGAACAGAGTGGCCGAGGCCTTCCCCTGCGAAAAACCTCAGAAGAGCCCTGCTGGATCAGACCAGGGAGGGGTCCCTCTAGTCCAGCCTCCTGTCTCACACAGGGGCCACCCAGTTCCTCTGGAGGGCCAGCAACAGGGCAGAGAGGCCGAGGCCTTCCCCTGAGATGGACACCAGAAGAGCCCTGCTGGATCAGACCAGTGAGGGTCCATCTGATCCAGCCTCCTGTCTCACACAGGGGCCAGCCAGTTCCTCTGGATGGCCAACAACAGGACAGAGAGGCCGAGGCCTTCCCCTGATAAGGACACCAGAAGAGCGCTGCTGGGTCAGACCAGGGAGGGTCCATCCAGTCCAGCATCCTGCCTCACACAGGGGCCAGCCAGTTCCTCTGGAGGGCCAGCAACAGGGCAGAGAGGCCGAGGCCTTCCCCTGAGAAGAACCTCAGAAGAGCCCTGCTGGGTCTGACCAGGGAGGGTCCATCTGGTCCAGCCTCCCGTCACACACAGGGGCCAGCTAGTTCCTCTGGAGGGCCAGCAACAGGGCAGAGAGGCCGAGGCCTTCCCCTGAGAAGAACCTCAGAAGAGCCCTGCTGGGTCAGACCAGGGAGGGTCCCTCTAGTCCAGCCTCCTGTCTCACGCAGTGGCCAGCCAGTTCCTCTGGAGGTCCAGCAAGAGGGCAGAGGGGCAGATACCTTCCCCTGATGTTGCCTCCTGGCTCTGGCATTTAGAGGATTAGTGCCTCTGAATGTGGAGGTTCCCCTCAGGCACCATGACTAGTAGCCACTGAGAGACTTCTTCTCCATGAATCGATCTCCTCCCCCTTTTAAGCTGTTTATTCCTGTGGCCCTCACTCCATCCTCTGGCAGCTTAATGTATCTCCGGCAGATTCATGTATGTGAAGCTGAAACTCCTGCTTACACAAGCAAGGTATTCAGGGCCATTAAACCCTGCTTGAAATCTTGGGTCGTGCTCCAGCCACTGCACATCCTGGACAAGCGGGTTCCGATGGGAGGGGGCAGTCCTTCAGGTATGCTGGCCTCAAGCCGTGCAAAGTCAGCTTCCCTCTTGACCCCCATCCTTCCGCCATCCAGGAGAGACCAAGAGGATCTGGCCTACAGTGCTTTAAATCCCCCCAACCCCCTTTTTCCTTCCCAGACCCCAGTAGTTACCAAAAACATAAGAACATAAGAGCAAAGCCAATGTTGGATCAGGCCAATGGCCCATCCAGTCCAACACTCTGTGTCACACAGTGGCCAACAATACCAGGGGCCCTCAGGAGGTCCAGCAGTGGGGCCGGGACACCAGAAGCCCTCCCCCTGTTGCTCTCCCCCCCCCAAGTACCAAGAAGACAGAGCATCCCTTGCCCCAGACATAAGAACATAAGAGCAAAGCCAATGTTGGATCAGGCCAAAGGCCCATCCAGTCCAACACTCTGTGTCACACAGTGGCCAACAATACCAGGGGCCCTCAGGAGGTCCAGCAGTGGGGCCGGGACACCAGAAGCCCTCCCCCTGTTGCTCTCCCCCCCCCAAGTACCAAGAAGACAGAGCATCCCTTGCCCCAGACTGAGAGTCCCTATCTATACCTTGTCGCTAATAGCCACTGATGGACCTCTGCTCCATATGCTTATCTAATTCCCTCTTGAAGCCGCCCATGCTGGTAGCCACCACCACTTCCTGTGGCAATGAATCCCAAGTGTTAATCACTCTTTGGGTGAAGAAGGACTTCCTTTTATCCATTCTAACCCGACCGCTCAGCAATTTCATTGAGTGCCTACAAGGAGTTCTTGTACTGTGAAAAAGGGGAGAAAAGTACTTCTTTCCTGACCTGGTCTATGCCACACATAATCTTGTCAGCCTCGATCGTGTCTCCCCTTAGTCTGCTCTCTTCTCGTGGTCTTGCTAACTGGGAGGGCGGGGTGGGAGGGAGTGATGACGGTGTGGCATGGGCTTCCTCCCTAACCCTCTGTTGCACCGTGGCTGCTGCCGTCCCTGTGGTGCCTCCTTGTTGGTGCCCAGCTGTCTCCTGGCTGTGTAGGAAACTGGCTGGCTTTGTGGGTGAGAGCCTAACAGCTCGGTCAGCTCGCCCTCAAGATTATGAAGAGATCTGTAATAACGAAACCCCAAATCGAGCTCAGATAATTGGGAATTAGGCTGTCGTGTAATGGAATTGCCCAGGAGTGTTCAGCTTTAGCAAAAGAACCAGTGGTGAAGTGCAGGCGGACTCTAATCTGGGAGAACCGGGTTTGATTCCCCGCTCCTCCTCCACTCGCACCTGGCTGGATGACCTCGGGCAAGCCATAGTTCTGGCAAGAGCTGTCCTTGAAAAAGAGCCGTTTCTGTCAAGAGCTCTCTCAGCCCTGCCCACCTCCCAGGGTGTCTGTTGTGGGGAGGGGAAGGGAAAGGAGGTTGTAAGCCGCTCTGAGACTCCTTTGGGTCTCCTCTTCTTCTAGTGTATGTTTTCTTCTGCTCTATTGTAGGTTTTCTCCTGCTCTTGTTGGATCGACTTCTGGTTTTATAATTTCTGCACTGTTAATGATATAGCATGTCTGATGCCTTTTGGCGTGTTTTTTCTAACTTTGTAATCTTGTACTTTAAGTTGCCTTCTACTGAATCAGGCCCTTGGTCTATCAAGGTCAGTGCTGTCTGCTCAGAGTGACAGCGGCTCTCCAGGGTCTCAGGCAGATAAAAGTCTCTCCCATCACCTCCTGCCTGGTTCTTCCAGCTAGACAAGCTGGGGGTTGAACCTGGGACCTCCTGCATGCCAAGCAGAGGCTCTGCCACTGAGCCACAGCCCTTCCCTAAAAAGAGCTCTCCAGGGTCTTGGGCTGAGGCCTTTCCTATGGTCTCCTGCCTGGTCTTTTTCACTGGAGCCGGTCTGCGTGCCGAGAAGAGGCTCTGCCACTGAGCCAGGGCCCCTCCTAGTCCTACTGTGTTGTTTATTGGGAGTCTTGTGCTGTCTGACATCACTGCCATGTATCATGTGATCCTCCACGAGTCTCCTTAAGAAAAGGACCAGGGAAAGAGATGTGGTCTCTTGTTTCTTGTTTCACTTGTCTGTTGTGGCTAAACCCACATCCTCTTTCTGCACAGCTCTGAGCAGCGCACGAGACGTCCACCTGCCCCCCGGGCCCTTGCGCCGTGTGGCGGGCACCTCTGTCTCCATCCCCTGCAACGTGTCGGAGTATGAGGGACCCACCCAGCAGCACTTTGAGTGGTTTCTGTACCGCCCGTCGGCTCCCGACATCTCCATCGGGGTGATCAGCACCAAGGACCCCAACTTCCCGTATGCTGTCTTTGGGCCACGGGTACAGGCCGGAGAGGTGTCCGTCCAGCGTGTGCGGGGGGATGCCGTGGAACTGCTCATCAAGGAGATACGTACAGAAGACGCGGGGATCTATGAATGCTACACCCCCTCCACCGACTCCAAATACCTCGGCACCTACAGCAGCAAGGTGGAACTCAAAGGTACCCCAGATGGATGTCTTGTTGGCTGTTGGCGGGCTTGAGGCCAGGGGTGCTGAAGCGTCCCAGTGAGCTACAAGCGCATGACAGGAAGTCACGTGACCAATGTTCCCTCTAAGCTGTGGAGTCTTGGGAGCAAAATTTCTACTTTGTGAGTTGCTGGCATTAAACTTGTGAGCGAGCGATTTGGCTACTGCATAAATTAGCTTGCTCTGGAGTCATCCTCCCTGAGCTAAGACAAAAATCTGTGAACTGGAGGCTAAAATTCTGTGAGCTAGCTCACACTAACTCAGCTTAGAGGGAACACTGCACGTGACGCCTGAGTCATTGTGCAGCGGGTTGGACTAAATGACCCTGAAGACCCCTTCCAGTTCTATGATTCTATGAGTCCACTCCTGGGACAGGAATCACAGAATCATGGAGTTGGAAGGGACCTCCAGGGTCATCTAGTCCAACCCGCTGCACAATGCAGGAAACTCACAACTACCTCCCCCTCCACACCCCCAGTGACCCCTGTTCCGTGCCCAGAAGATGACAAAAACCTCCAGGATCCCCGGGGCCAAACTGGACTGGAGAAAAATGGCTTCCTGACCCCAGAGTAGCGATCGGCATTTCCCTGGGCGTGTCAGAAAGGGCCATAAGGACTGAGCACTGAGGCAGCCCTTCCCGCCCTCCCTCTCGGGATCTGCCCAAGTTCACAGAATCCGCATGGCTGTCAGATGGCCATCTGGGCTCTGTCTGAAAACCTCCGAAGAAGGAGAGCCCGCCAGGAAGGGGGCCAGAGTTACAACCTCACAGATATTGGGGGGGGGGGGGGGGCAAAAGAGAGAGACGGGGATGGGAAACACGGACCAGTTACCCGGCGGTGCCCTGGGGTGAGGAACGGGCCCATGGCCAGGCCAAGGGGGGGAGTCACCTCCCTCCCACCATCCCCCCCCCGTTTTGCTTAGAATGCTTCGGGGGGGGGGGAGATCACAGCCCCTTGATTATTGTTTGGGCTTTATTGTGGTTTTAAATGTTGCTTATTTTATTGTATTTTATCTGTTCATTTTGGCTCTGCCGCATGTCAGCCGCCCTGAGCCATTGGGAGGGCGGGATGCAAATCTAACAGGGGGGCAACAAAGAAAAAAAAGACTGAATTGGAAAAAAGGGGGGGGGAGGCGGGGCACTCTCGCTTTCCTGCCCAGCACGCACTTCCAGGAGATAGCAAAAATGGCCGCTCTGTAGAGGCTGGCAACCCATCGGAGGGCCTCTGACCCGAGGGCGGAAGACCTCTGCCTTGGCTTTCCAGGGGTGGTTGGCGGCGGCCGGCTTTGCATCAGTCAGGTGGCACCAGGTGGCAGTGAGCTGGTTTGCACGCGACTGGGGTGTTTCAGTGTGTGTGTGCGCACGTGGGTGTGTGTGTGTGAATCACTTGTGGCTGAGCGGCTGCCAGAGACTGTGTGAAGGTGGGGAGATATCACAGCCCCACGCAGAGGACTCTCCGTGAACCCTGAGTCCTTTTAAACCAGAAGCCCCCAGCTCTCCTTGCCCGGGGTGCACGGCCTCCCCAGGGGCGTCTGGGCCAGGCTGCTTCTCAGGGGTGTCTCCCGAAAGGAGAGCCGGGCTGGATCGGGGGGCTCCTCTCGAGGGCCTGGGAAACCGGGTGGTCCAGAGGACCCGAGCTCACCTTCTGTCTGCCCTGTCTGTTGGCGGCAGTGTGTGTGTGTGTGTGTGTGGGGTCTTTGGGAAACGGCCCTCCTTCTACACCAGCTGCAAGAACAGGGCTGCTGTGGGTGCCCAGTTCTGCCCACCTGGTGCCCAGCTCCCCTCGCCTCACTTCACCGTTTCCCTTCATTGCTCCCCCCGGGCTAACAAAGGATGATGACAAGGACCGACTGACTGAGCCAGCTTGGTGTAGTGGTCGAGTGCGCGGACTCTAATCTGGGAGAACCGGGTTTGATTCCCCACTCCTCCACTTGCAGCTGCTGGATGACCTTGGGCAAGCCGTAGTTCTGACAAGAGCTGTTCTATCAGGAGCAGTCCTTGAAAGAGCTCTCTCAGCCCAGCCGACCTCAAAGGGTGTCTGTTGTGGGGAGGGGCAGGGAAAGGAGTTTGTAAGTTGTTCTGAGACTCCTTCAGGTACTGAAGGGCAGGGTAGACACCAATCTCCTCTTCTTCTCTCTCCCTGCCCCCACAGTGATGCCCGACAAGCTCTCCGTTTCGGCCGCCCCTCCTCCCGCCACGAGGACCCCCTTCCGGGCCCGTGGGGCCGTCGCTGCCTCCCCCCGCCTGCCGCAGATGACCCTTCCTGAGAGCCAGGAGCTCCGGCTGACCTGCACGGCCCTGACCGGGACCCAGGAGCACACCCACCTCTCCGTCTCCTTTGGCTTCTCCGGGCTGGAGCCCCCCGGGGGTCGCGGGACGGTGCAGGAGGTGATCGGGGTGCGGAGGGATTTTGCCGTGGAGGCTGGCGGGCGCTTTGCGGAGCGGCACAAAGGCCAAGAGCTGTCGGTCACCAAGCAGGGGCCCCAGGAGTACCAGATGGCACTGGGTTGGCTGAGGCCGGACGACACGGGGGTCTACCACTGCACCGCGGGGGAGTGGATCCAGGACCCCGACGGCAGCTGGCAGCTGATCATTCAGAAGCAGGTGGCGCTGGCCCAGGTGACGATCCAGACCATCGGTAAGTCTGCCTGGGCGCTCTGCCCTTTGGAGACAGGGGAGGGCTCCCTGTAGCCATTTTACGCGTCCGTTTTGTGGACCAGTCGGCCGGAGGCGGTCAGGAAGGCTCCCGCTCTCCCGGCTCTCCGCGGAGGAGGCAAAACGGAACCGTTCAAGAGGGGTGTGCTTTTCTGTGCAGGCAACAGAGCTTCACCCTACTGAATGATTCACAAAGTAAGCTCGAGAAATCACTGGGGACGGTGGTCTGTACTGCGGTGTATAGTCGGCTGTGGGTTGGTGGTCGCCAGAAAAGAGCCAGTTTGGTGTCGTGGTTAAGTGTGGCGGACTCTAATCTGGGAGAACCGGGTTTGATTCCCGCACTCCTCCACTTGCACCTGGCTGGATGACCTTGGGCAAGCCGTAGTTCTGATAAGAGCTGTCCTTGAAAAAGAGCAGTTTCTGTCAAGAGCTCTCTCAGACCCACCGACCTCCCAGGGTGTCTGTCTGTTGTGGGGAGGGGAAGGGGAAGGAGATAGTCGGCCGCTCTGAGACTCCTTCGGGTAGTGAAGGGCCATGGGGTATACATCCAATCCCTTTTCTTCTTCTTTTTCTTGGGTGGGTCCTACGGTGGCATCTTGCATTGTTCACTGTGTCGTGTTAACACTTCTGCTTTGCTGCAGTTCTGTTCTTAGATTTTGGCTGGTTCTGCAGCCCAAATACTGTTGCAGTCTTGACTCCACCTTGAGTCCAAGTGAGAAAGGTGGATGATTAAAAAAAATGTAAGAAATCTCATCATTGGAAATGGTGGGCGCTTCCTCAGCACCTCTCAGCCAAGGGGGGGACCCTTAATCAGCCTGCAAAGGTGACGTCTGGCACATCCCAAAAGGAACCACACAGATCCCGTCACCTTGGGACACCCCTGATGGTTCTTCCACCTGCCCCCAGCTCTCTCCTCTGCCGACACGGCCCGAGTCTCCGGCTTCTGTCGCCTTTCTGGCTGAGGCCCCTCCAGTTGGGAGAGGCAAGGGCACCTCTTTGCTCACAGCTGTTGGAATCGGCTTCACCCGGGCACGCGACCTGTCGGTTCTGCACAGCACCTAGCACATGTTTGGGCTGCAATAAATGCCCAGTGGCACTTTATTTTATTAATTTATTTATTAATGTATTTATATTTTTGATTTGTATTCCGTCCTCCCTGCATAGGCAGGCTCAGGGTGGATTACAGCCAGTTAAACTATAACAGAATAAATACAATAAAACATAAATGCATCCACAGAGCAATAATCTAAAATTCAGACAAGCAATCAAATTATGTAAATAATGTGCTGTTGCACATAGATGGCGGTAGCGTCTCCAAGGCAGTGTTAGATGGTAAAGAGTACACTGTGGCCATACCCGTGTCATTAGCTGTTCTTGTTGCTCTCAACATGCGGGCCTTAACTGTTCGGTTGTTAGCAGTTCAGATGTGTTGGTGCTAGTGGCGGCTCCTAATCGAAAGCCTGGTGGAAGAGCTCCATTTTACAGACCTGTAAAAGGCCCCACAGGGCCCTGATGTCTTCCGGGAGCTCATTCCACCACGATGGGGCCACCACTGAAAAGGCCCTGTCCCTGGTTGTCATGGCTCAGGTGGGGTGTCACTTGACGCTGCCACCACTCTGGATTTCAGGCTCCTCTGAGAAGGCCCAGAGCACCCTCCCAGGCCTTTAGACCTCTCTTTTGGCCGAATAAGGCAAGAGTGAACAATGAAAATAGTTTATTTTACAGGAGGTCAAACAAACAAGGTCCAGAAATATAACAGTAAGTGGGTGAAAAGAAATCAAATGCCCTAACCCGACTAAATATATACTGTCCCTAGCTCACTATCTCAAGTGGCCTTAGACTACTCACCCTTCCCTCAGGATGAGGGTTTCTTCCCCACAGCAGCCTCAGCCCCTTCTGGCTCTGCCCTCTTGGAAGAAAGAACAGCTTTCCCTCTTGTACCAGTTCCTATATTCCCCAGCCCTCTTCTTCCCTATTGGTCAAAATCGGCGCCAAAACTTCCCAAGGCCTTCTGGGGTTTGTAAGCCCAGCCTCCCGTACTGCTAGCCAGGCTCCCTGGGCCTAGCAGGCCTCTGGTGGCACAGCCCAGGTCATGACACTGGTCAAGGCCAATCTGGCGTCTTTTGGGCCAGGGAGAGTCAGGCGGTTTTGCAACCCTGACCCCAGTGCTCTCTGGGGCACATGTGGGGTCAAATGCTTGTGGCCCCTGAGGGGGGGGGGGGTCTGGTGTCCTTTCATTGGATCCTGCCACAAAATGGGTATCGAGGGGACCGGCCCTGTGGAGGAATTCTGGTCCTCTTGCTGCTGCCCCCCTCAGTGCCGCTGACTGTCCGTTCTCTGTGCTTTGCTCCCAGCCAGCCAGCTGTCGGTGTCTGCGAGCCCTCCCCAGATCCGCGTCAGCCCCGGAGAACCCCTGGAGCTTCTCTGCCAGGCCTCCGGCCTCCTGGCTTCCCCTTTGCCCCGCGTCGCCTACACGGTGGGCTGGGAACTGAGCACGGGAGGCGCCACGGAGGGACGCCTCGTGGCCCAGGTGGACACAGATGGAGCAGTCATCCTGGGAGACGGCTACGCCAACCGCGATGTGGGCCGACGGCACGTGTCCCTGCAGAAGTTGGGCTCGCCCCCTGGCTCCTACCGGCTGCGGATCGAGTCGGCCCAGCCGGGGGACGCGGGCACCTACCAGTGCGTGGTGCAGGCTTATGTCCTTTCGCCGAAAACGGAGCTGCGCCAAGTGGCCGCCAGCAGGTCGCAGGGGCTGGCCGTGGACATGAAACCTGAAGGTATGTGCTTCGTTGCTGGGTGTAGCGGTGGATCCTCAGTCAAGGAAGCTGGGGAGTTGCTAAATACAGACCAGGGTCCCCAAGCTTTCTGAGCCTGCAGGCACCCTGGGATTTCTGACACAGCATGATGGGCACACCCACAAAATGGCCCCCACAAAATGGCTGCCGCAGCTTCCCTTCAGTCACAGTGAAGATCCTCGTGCTGTGGTGAAAACCTGCACAGCCCAGCAAATCCCCAGTGGCCAACCGGAAGCCTTCCTGGGCCAGAGCCCCACATAGCCACGCCCACTTTCTAAAACCACTCGCTGGTCAGTTGCCAGAAAAGGGGCCCACGGGTGCCCTGGCGGCCAGGGGTACCATGCCAGGAATTCCTGAGTCAGATGAAGTTGGCCTCTGCGTCAGCACCCTCCTCTTAGTGCTTGAGTGAAGCCAACCACGCGTGCCTTCGGGGCGCTGGCCTCCTCATCCTTCACGGACCAAGTGGAGCTGTTTCCAGAGGAAGGAGGCGGCCAGGGGAACTGCCTGCCACCAGATTGGGTGCTTCGGGAGGGCAACAGTGAAAGGGCTTCCAGTGGACCTCCTCATGGCCCCTGGGTTTTGGCCACTGTGTGACACAGAGTGTTGGACTGGATGGGCCATTGACCTGATCCAACATGGCTTCTCTTGTGTTCTTATGTCTGAGGCAGTGATGCTCTGTATTCTTGGTGCTCTGGGGGGCAACAGTGAGAGGGCTTCTAGTGTCCCGGCCCCACTGCTGGACCTCCTGATGGCATCTGGTATTTCTGTCCGTTGTGTGACACAGAGTGTTGGACTGGATGGGCCATTGGCCTGATCCAATGTGGCTTCTCTTATGGTCTTATGTTCTCTGTCTTCTTGGTGCTTGGGGGGGGGCAAGAGTGGGAGGGCTTCTGGAGTTCTGGCCCTGCTGGTGGACCTCCTGATAGCCCCTGGGTTTTGGCCACTGCGCAACACAGAGTGTTGGATTGGATGGGCCACTGTCCTGATCCAACATGGCTGCTTTTATGTTCTTAAGAGTCGCCCTGGAGGGTCCCTCTGGAGCCGCATTTGGAGGGAAGCTGGTGGAATGCCTTTGGGTTGGTTTGTGCAGGTTGGGATTGCGCCCAAAGGTCACTGCATCCCAGCTTCTCTCGTAATGTTGCTTTGCAGCCTAATTCAGGAGGTGGGGAGGGGCAGACACCTTTTGAGGCAGGGCCTCAGTTGTAGCATTACAGAGTGGGGGAGGCCAAGAGGAACACTGTTCCTGCCCCCTCCCCTCCCCGGCCTGTGCATGCGGATAGTCGTGTGTCCGTGGAGGTCTTCTGCTCTGAACCATTTGCTCTCCCCCCTTCAGATCTCCCTTTCGGGTGTCTTGGTGCCCCAGGTGTGTTTCTGGGCTCTCAGTGGTTCCTCCTCCCCTTCCTTCTTTCCCTGCAGCTGTGGTGCTGGGCGCCAGTGCGTGGCTGCCGTCCCCCACCATCTACCGGGGGGACACGGCCGAGGTGCGCTGCAACATCTCTGTGGAATCGACGCAGGCGGTCCACGTGGCGCTCAGCTGGTGGGTGGAGCTGGCCCGGGAGGACGTGGAGGTGCGTGGGCACATGCTGGCCTCGGTGAGCCGCGAGGGGGTGGCAGTCCTCGGGCCCCGTCCGTCCGGGGGCGCCGTGAGTGTGGAGAAGGTGGGGCCGCAGAGCCATCAGCTGCGCATCCACGAGGTCCAGCCGTCGGACGAGGGGAAGTACCACTGTGCCCTGACCGCCTGGGTGCGCTCGCCAGACCTCAGCTGGTACAATGCCGGAGCCGTGCAGTCCAATGCCGTCACTGTCTACCCCTACGCCCTGCGTGAGTAGGAAGCTTGTGTTTTTTTGGGGGGGGCAGGAGGGGCTGTGCCTCCTGCACTCTGCGTCGCCACCACTCGAGGTGTCCTCTCACAGGGCGGCTCTCCTTCCTTCCCTCCCCTCCTTCCCCTTCCCCTCCCCCTCACTCCCCTTCCTTCCCTCCTTCCCCTCCCTCCTTCCCCTCTCTCCCTCCCTCCCTCCCCTC